CTTGAGGCGACACGATTACCGTAACAAAACGATGTGATTTCAGCGGCGTTCGTGGCATAGTTGGTAGCGTTTCGGATTGCTGTTCAGGAGGTCCGGGGTTCGAAACCCGCTGGCAGCAGTAACTTTTTGTCAACAAATTTTTCATATCAGCAAGTTTGGTTGGTTAGGTTAGGTTATGACAGTTTAATTTTATAATACTAAATTTTAAAATTAATTTTATAATTAATTAAAAATTATAAGTAATCATTAATTAGATATCTTATATAGTTTTTATATTATCAGCAAGTCTGGTTGGTTAGGTTATGTTATGACAGTTTAATTTTAAAAATTAAAAATTTATTTTATAACTTTAAAACAATATTTTATAATTAAAAAGTTAATTTTATAACAAAAAATTAAAAATTAAAAATTAATTTAAATTTTTTCAACTTAGCAGTCCTAGCGGCGAACGCTGACACTACAAGATATGTTAGCCTTAGTCCCTCCCGTGTGCCCCACCGGTGGTTAGCGTGCCGTGCCGACGAGCTGAAGGTCCCGGGTTCGAATCCCGCTGACAGCATTAACTTTTTGTCTAAGATTTGTTCATTATCAGCAAGTTTGGTTGGTTTGGTTCGGTTATGACAGTTTAATTTTATTATTAAGTCATTAATCAAAATTAATTTAAGTCATGGTGCAGACTTTCGCTTAATTTCTGTCTACAAACCCCCGAACAAACGGCTACACAATAATGACTTGCAGGTGCTGTTTGCAGAAAATTGTTCGACTGTGGTTATGGGGGACCTAAATTGTAAACATCAGATATGGGGTTGCAGAATCACAAACCCAAATGGAAACCGTTTGTTACGACTTACAAATAACTCAAACGTAATGATTGATGTGCCACAAGAACCAACACATTTCCCATGACAACCTAATTATCAACCAGATATACTAGATTTGGTTTTGCACAAAAACTTTACAGCTCCAATCATTCAAAATGTATTACCCGAGCTGGACTCTGACCATTCTCCCGTTATAATAACCTTCTTCACGCAACCTCAATTCAGTTGTCCACCTCAACGATTAATTAATGGAAAGATAAATTGGGAAATTTTCAGTGCAGAATTGGATAAATGTTTAGAAGGTACGCCTAAATTATCGTCTTGCATCGAAATAGAAAACTCTGTAAAAATATTTACCGAATCATTGAAAACTTGTGCCAGGAAAGCTATCTTAAATCCCTCACGATCCACGCCAAATAACGACTACAGTACTATCATCCTCCGATGAGAATAATGCGTCTGATTAGAGAAAAACATAAAGTTAGACGACTTTGGCAGCGATACCGTCTACCACACTTAGGCAACTCAACGAACTGGGAAGGCGAGTGAAAACAGAACTCGAGGAATTTAGAATAGACAACTATAAGAAGTATGTTTCTGATATTCATCCGAGTGACCCAAATATGTGGAAAGCAACTTAGAAACGTCTTTTAAGTACTCCTTCGGTCATACCTACGTTGAAAAAAGACAACCTAATCTGTGAGACTGATTCACAGAAGTGTGAACTGTTGGCAGAATTTTATGAAACTACATTTCAACCCACTGATTTTGCTGATTATGGTGACGATGAGATGGTGAAAGAGACTTTGAATGGACAATTTTTTTCTCTGAACTACCAATAAAGTTTGCATGCCAATCTGAAATTAAAGCAGTAATTAAAAAACTTCCACTCCGTAAATCACCTGGCCATGACCTTATTCCTAATATTATTTTACGAAATCTCACCAACAAAGGCTTTTCATATTTCACATCAATTATTAATGCATGTTTGTCTAAATCTTACTTCCCTTCTATTTGGAAGCATGCGGAAATATCAGTTATTCATAAACCCAATAAACCGAAGTCTTCTCCATCGAGTTACCGTCCAATCAGCTTACTTTCTACACTTTCTAAAGTCTTTGAAAAAATCATCTTGAAACGAATTGCCTGTTACATGGATGCTGCAAATATAATTCCTGCTCATCAATTTGGATTTCGGCCAAAACATTCGCCCATACATCAAATATTACGAATATATGAAACGATAGTCAAAGGGTTTGAGAGGAAACAGCATACAGTAACGGCATTTCTTGACATATCTCAGGCATTTGATAAGGTATGGCATGACGGTCTTGTCTTTAAATTGATTAATTTTGGATTTCCAAAATATTTAACCAGTATTGTAAAATCGTTTCTCTGTCACAGGACCTTCTCTGTTAAAATTAGTTCTTCTAAATCATCTGTACGACGAGTCAATGCAGGAGTTCCACAAGGTTCAATTTTGGGCCCTGTATTGTTCAATCTATACATGGCAGACATCCCTCTTCCAGAAGACGCCTCATTAGCTCTCTACGCCGACGACACTGCTATCCTGTGCCAACATTCCGACATCCACGAGGCCACGTATTCCCTGCAATACTCTGTGGATCTTCTCATTGATTGGTTCTACAAGTGGAAATTTCGCCTAAATTCAACTAAATGTGAGACCAAAATATTTTCCTTGAAAAAACATACATTGCCACATGAAATTCAAATATATGGTAACTTTCTACCTTGGAACCCTGATGACCAGGCCATAAAATATCTTGGAGTATGCCTGGACAAAAAACTTAATTGGAACTACCACGTTAATCAAAAACTGTCCCAAGGTTATGCACGCCTTGCAAAGCTTTTCCCTTTAATCAATAGGAAATCTACTCTGAAGCCAGCTTGTACAGTTCTAATCTACAAATCAATAATTCGGCCCTTGATTACATATGCATCTCCTATCTGGGGATTAGCTATATCAAAAAACAAACTCTTCAAAATTCAAGTGATTCAAAACAAAATTCTAAGAATAGCGGTGAATGCTCCCTGGTTTGTTAGAAACAGGCATATACATGAAGAACTAGGAGTGGAGTCTATCTCGGCCTTTATTGAAAAAACCACCTCAACATTTCTAAAATCTTTAAACAATGTTCCTGGTGCATTAACTTTTCATCTTGGTGAAACAACTGAGAACAGGAGGCTACGTCGAAGGCTCCCTCAAGATCTATTGGATGAATGAAGCCTATAGACGATTAAATTATTCTCAAAATTAATTATGTTACAGGGTGTACCAGGTTTGGGCGAACCCACGATGTTATTATAGTTAATTTCTTATTAATTTTGTTAACACTTCTGTGTATAATGTCTACATTGAACCAGAAATAAATGTTGTAAATAAAAAAATAAAAAAGACCTCATTTAACCATATAATACGATCTAATCATAAACAATAACTAGTCCCCTAGTTATATAACCAAACAGTAAAGCACAAATCAAGAAATTAACCCTAAAATAATAGAAACAAAGTTTCGTCGATACTAGCGCCTTTGTGTCACGTACATGAACTAGACACGAAAAACGTTCTTCAAAATTTACAATGGGATGAGAAGTCTACTTGTGTTGGTTAGTCTATGCCTCCTGGTTCCTGGGCTAGAACAAATATGCTGTACTAGCTAATATACAAATATTTTCTCCTGTCAAATCCTAAAAAGCACGGCAGACAACAATCTGCCTATTCTGGCATCGTTAAAAATAAAATTTGTATCTTGTAAAAATAATATTTGAAACAACAAAATTATTTCTTTGTGTCTCTAAAACAGGCAATCTTTAATACTAGTGCACCTGTTGCTTGAATTCGAGCAATTGCATATTGTTGCAGGCGTTATTTCAAAACGAATAACAGTCATTTATTTTCGATGACTTAAAAGAGTCAACTCAAAGATAAATAATCAATCACTCCCAGGGCCTGATTACCCATTAGGCTGGAGCCTAGGGCGCCAGTCAGCCTAGTGTTTTAGGGGGGCGTCAGACAGCTAAGACTTAAAGTTTTGTCCGGGGGCGTAAAACATGTTTTTTTCCAAAAAAGGATTCACGCAGATAGGGAATGAGGCGGGGAAGGGTGCGTTCGGCAGATTTTAATAATGATTATATTTATAGTAATAATTGATTTGTAAGTTATTTGTGCAACTATTGAGTAAAGTGAGCAATTGACTCACTCGAGATACTTTTTGTTTCAGATAAATACAGATAAATGCTGTAAACTAAGTAATTCCTTCTAAAGGCCCTAATAAAATTGTTTTAGGCCTAGGTGATTAAAAGAGTTAATTTAGAAAGTACATATATTATTGTTTGGTTTTTTGATATTTAGGTTAGGTCTACTTTTGATTTAATACAATCATATGTTTAATAAAATGTAAAATAAATACATTATTTTAAATCAAAAAGTTTTAAATTCCTTGAACAACCGATTTGTTACTATTTTAAAAGTTCCTAATCAAACCATGCATTAATTTATATTTTATGGTCAGTTTTCTTTTGTTTTTAAATAAACTGAATATTAGTATAACGCCTTTGACCATTTTAAATTTTTGGATTCAGTATAAGTGTTATTCAAAGTTTAAAAAAATTCAAAATTCAATCTAAAAATAATACAGTAGTTATATGTTTTATATTTGTTTTTAGTTCTTACATTCTTTTGTATATGCAGAGTTTTTTTTAGGGTAAGAGTCCGGCACTACTCATTGACACAGGTTTTTGAGTGTCCATGAGGATTTCCTCTCCGCCCAAAAAAATTAAAAGGATAAAAAAATCTGTATGTTCATAGAAAATAGTCTGTTGTAGGATAAACGTCTCAAATTGCATTGTTATTACATTGCTGTGCCAAACTTAATTTTAGCCCTATCTAAAATTTTAGATATTCATAAATTTTGCAAACACTCTATGATATCAAATAGTTTACCCAGTGCAATAACTTGAACAGAACAAATTGTATACACCGTGGATGATAGAGGATACTTGAGTAGGTATATACTTAAAAGTTAAAACTTAAATTATGACAGGGTATTGCGTTGAGTTATAGATAGGATATTTTATTTCTCAATACCAGGGACAAGATGAAATATATTGCAGTGGTGTGAATATAGAAGATTGTAAAACTATTTTAATGTTGTCATTTATTAATCAGTGAGTTTGGACATTATGTTTACTGTTCAATATCTACACTTAGATCAGAGTTTTCATCTTCCCACTTAGCTTGCCTGTCTATGAGAGATTGGGGACTTGGTGTGCTAGTTCTATCGTTGATCCAGCTAAAAAGGACTTCATCAAGGCTTTCTGAGAATTTGGTTGTCTTCAATTTATTTTGTTGAAAAATAATGCTTCGGAACTGACGAATAGAAAAATCTGTGACTACATCTTTTAGTTCATCGTCATAGAGTCCTACATTGAGTTTTATTCTTTGTTCATCACGAAATCTCTTCAGCTTTTCTGTAAAAATCCCTTTCTTCAAAAGCCACCAGTAAAATTTGTTGTTGAACCAATACTCAATCATGTATAAGAAGTGAGCTTGATGATGATGCTGGTAGACTTTTCCATCTAGCTCTGCGACATTCCCACTCCTGACTGCTAGACCTATCAACATGTTGATGAAACCTAGAACTATAATAAATGTAAAGGCACCTATCAACAAGCACTCAATAACAAAAAGAAAGGTCACTGGAGTCGTAGTAAAATATTCTTTATCAAAAAGTGGCAAGTCTGGAAAGTAACCTAGAAAAATTACTATGAATGTATAAGTAAACGATCTTGGTACACTAGAGAATTTAGCATTATTGTAGTAAATGCAAAAGAAGCTAAGTGAAAACGCAAACATAGATACAGTCAGAACTAGTAGATGTTTAGATATACCATTCAAAACATGAAAAAATACAGCCAGCTGAAAAGAATTCTTGTAGTACAATGTAGTTAGAAAAACCATAACATAAATCCAACAAGAAAAAATCATAATAGCCGTAAGTTCAGGAGCCAGTACAAATGTTCTTCCAAATCCAACTAATGCCGTCATTATTATAAGGGGTACAAATGATACAGCATCAGTTAACCAAACTCTCTTCTGTATCAAGTTTGGTATTTTAAACATAGCAGGTATGAAAGACAACAATAAAAATACAATTACCATTACTTTTTGAACAAACGAGGTTAAGAAACTATATTTCTTTTCAGGATTATCGCCAATGTAAATTATGGGCAAGAAAAATGATAGAGCGTTTGTTACAGAGAACAACACAAGAAAACGAATCGTTAGGTATAATTTCTGTGCTTGATATTTATTTTTCAAGAACAACTCAATTACTGGGTGTTGCAGAACTTTTCTCCTTGCTTTTGAACAATCGGGTTTAGTCAGTTCATCAAATAATGTATAAACAACTCTCATTTGACTGAATTGTTTATCGTGTGGACATAGCATGTTGAAGTTCACATTTATATTTATTTTCTCTTCGTAATAGTGCTCTTGTTTTCCTGTTACACACGTATCCAAAAGACTCGTTAGCAATGATTCTGCTACTTCTGGATTGTAAGTAAGAACGGCATTGAAAACATTCAATCCTGTATTGTTCTCTAAAGCCAAGTCTGCTCCTCGAGTGACAAAATAATGGACACAAGAAATGGATGCAACTCCACATTGAGCCGCAAATAAGAGTGGAGTATTTCCCATGAGGTCCGCCCTATCAAACATTTCACCCAAGTGTTCAGGGGCAAATAAACTGAAAAAGTCATGCAAAAGTGTTAGTCCTTCAAAATTTCCTCCGAGTGCACAGGCGTGAAAAACATTTCTATTTTGGCGAGTTCTTCGAAGTAACCCAGTGGGAAACCAATGATAAAGAGGATGTTTAGTGAATTTTCCAAGGAGGAGGTATACATCTGTTGCATACAAGTCTCCCACCAATTCTAATTTGAGAATCTCATCAGGATCGCTCAGTTCCTCTGTAGTTCTCCTGCTGCTGATGTAGTTGTAATACCTAGGGGACATAAGCAGTGTCTTCATGGTGTCTAAGTGACCATGCTTTGCAGTGTAGTACACAGGTGGTTCTCCCTCTGAGTTTTCATCAGACAAATTCACCTGTGTCATTTTTAACGCTTCCTTAAGAAATTTAGCATTTCCAAAAATGATAGCAGTCATATAGGGTGTGTTACCTTGGCTATCTACTTGGGTAAAAAACCAAGTGACATCGTAAATATTCATCACACAAGGAAGAGTAGAATGACTCAAATATTTTGCAATAACATGAATAAATGTTTCCCCAGTATTTAGATTTCTCAAGTTATAATCCGCTCCATTATCAATCAGCTCCTTTAAACAATTTGCCCTGTTCAGCTCGGCAGCGTACAACAAGGGTGTTCTCCCACTTTTATCCATATAGTCTAAACAATATATACAACCAGAATCTAATAACGCTTTCAATATATCAACTTTATCCTGACGGACAGCCATGTGAAAAACTGACTCTTGATCAATGTCATTAAAACCAGTCAAGTTTTGAAATCGGTTTAGCAGGCATCTTACCATTTCAAAGTTATTTAGCTTGACTGCGATTAAAAGTGCAGTGTCATCCTTTATATCTCTAAATTCAGCAAAATCCTCAGTAATTTGTGGATGATGTAAGATTTCTTTAAGCAAACCCAATCTGTTGTGGGCAACTATGACGTGCAGCACTGTCCTACCGTTCGCTGGGTTTTTAATGGCAATGTCTGCTCCGACTTTTAGCAGAAGGTGCAACACTCTAGACTTAAGATAAACAGTTTCTACCAATGGAGTGTCTCCTGCAACATATAAGAACCAAGAGTTTTACATCTGAAAAAATGTTTACATGAGCATTTAAATTAAAAGTATTAATTCTACCAATAAATTTCACATTCAAAGCAAGGTACCTATTTCCATTTCCAATCAAATCAATATTGAATTAACAGAAGGTACGGTATTACAAAATCTCATTTGCCAGCTTTCTAGGAGGGTAGCTGATTTTTTTAATGGCTTTATAATGGTGTACAACCCAGATTCAAGATCTGATTTTCAGTTGATAAATTTACCTTTAAGCGAATTTTCCATATATAGGGAATAAGTTATTACCGTAAGTCTCAATGTAAAACCTGGACTCAGGAACGATTTACTTTTTCATTTTGATTTCACCAGAGGTCAAACATCAACCTTCCAAATTCATATAAACAGGGTGTCCAAAACCACCCATACACCCCTTTTAAAACTAGGGAATTAAAACCACTTTTAAAACGAGGATCAAAGTGAATCCATATATGGATTCACTTAGATCAAACCTGCCACTAAAATTTTACTAAAAACACACTTGGATCAGCAAACCTAAGTAGGTGGTCGTTAAACCCAAAGTCATTTAGGGAATAAATCTGACATGTTTAAGGAAATATTTCAGTGAAAATCCAATGAGGTAAATTGATTTAGGTTGTGGGTTAATCTTATGTAGTAACTGCATGCCACTCATGGAACTCAATACCTTATCCCGTTATATCCATAAAAAACCCGAATCCTTATGGTGGCGTTGAAAGAATATTACCTTAACCGGATGGCTGTAGCTTGGCAGGTGGTGTGCATTAGCTTTGGATGCAGCAGATGGTGTATATGTGTAGGTACGTTATTGTATGTCAGGAAAAACCTCAAGAATAAGTGCTTAATCAACCAATAGTTTGCATTGGATAAGGCGGTGAAGAATCACCATAATCTTCTCTGCGTTCTCTTCCCTTGGTAAGGCACGGGCAGAGCGACTAGTTTTGTTAATGTTGTGTTATTATTGTTAGTTCTTTTTAGATGTTAACTAAAGGACCATGAGGTACTAAGTTTGTCTCAACAAAGAAAAATTTGCATTTAATTTCATGTGCTGTGGTGGAGGTATTTTCTTTTATAATCTTAATTGGGTATATAATCCCCTGTGTGAATTGTGAGTAAAAACTATATTCATAATTTTTTCATAACAAAGAAAGAATTAAGACATAGCCTATTTGGTCCTAGTACACATCAACATACCCTAGGAATTACTATAACCAAGATAAGTAAATTCTAATCATGTTTACCATTATCATTTAATGCGTTGATTAGTTCTGGGGATGAGTTGTATTGCAAAACTATCTGTGCAGCTTTGCTATCCGACCGTCTAGCGGCTAGGTGTAGAATGTTTATGTTGCCATATTTAAGGATTGTCTTGTAAGGATCAGCTCCCTGGGCACACAGTAGATCCAGAGTACTATAACTTCCTACCATTGCCGCCCCTAGGAGTGGTGTGAAACCCTCTTTGTCCTGAGAGTTCAATAGTTCAGAGCACCGTTCATCCTCAAGCAGCAAACTTAGCACATCCCTGTTGTTTGAAGCGGCTGCCACATGTAGTACTGACAACCCGTTTCCATCTGGTGAAAAAAAAAAAAAAAAAAAACTGAAGAGGAGGTCACCAGTAGATCGGCAATTTACTTGGTCATCTGGTCACTAAACAGTCTTTTTGAATTAAATATATAAATAAGAAAAACCTCTTCGCCAACAAGTTATTTCATCATCAGTCCCGTTGACCAACTTGTAAAATTAAATGATTGACTCAACGATCATCTCACTTTGTCACTTCGTCATCTTTTAGGTATGGGTATAGGGGAGCAGAGTGGGCGGCGCTAACCGGGATAACCCAGGATTGGGAAGCGAGTCCAGTTGTTGAACCATGTCGCTCGAGGCTAGAAGCCAGTATTGCCAACTGAAAATACTAGCTTCATTGAACACTAGATACGCGGCAGATTTATTTTGTCCGTGGTGCGAAGCCCTGTGTATTGGATGATCTGCGTGTGAATGCAACGGATAGTTTTGTTGTTTCTATAGCAAACTCTAACCTTGTCCTCGGTCTCACACATTCCTCTGCCATTTTATTAGTAATCTGCGATGGAATTTAGATCTGGCTTATACCATAGACAATGTATCAACACTAGACTTCTCATCCCTTTGTAAATTTTGAAGCTTGATGTTTTTTGTGTCTAGTTCATGTCTGGTGACACTGATCGCTAGTGTCAACAAAATTTTATTTATTTTATCTTCGGGTTAATTTTATGATTTGTGCTTTACTGTTGGTTACATAGTTGGAGGACAAGATATTGTTTATAATAACTTTTGAGCATTAAAAATAGATGTTAAGCACTGTCAGCAACAAATTCTTCGATGAAACACTTCACAAAAATCTGAAGGGTAGGTCCAGAATTGATGGCCTCTTAAGTCTGTAAATTGTATCCGTGTTGTTAAGTAAGTTCAACGCTAAATGATTTTGATGACATTCTAATTTTGAAATATATCTTTCACATAAGGTATACCGTAATGATTTTGTCCTTAACTGTAGGGATCTTAAGGTCTTCATGTAGCGTTCTATTGGTGACATACCAAGGTGCATTAGTTATCTTTCCCAGAATTTTCTATTGGTATCTTTGTATAATTTCAATACCTATTTGAAGTACTCGCCGAGCCCCAAAGTTGCACTCCGTATGTCCATATTGGTTAGAATATCGTTTTATACAGCAATAATTTTTAATTTATTTTCTAGACTAAGTTTTGATTTTCTTCCGATGAGCTAATTTAACTGATTAGGTTTTAAATTTAGATTTTGCCGTTTTCTCCAAATGTGTGTTTTCCATGTTAATTTCCTATCTAAATGGATACCTTAGTATTTAACGTCAGTTACTTCAGGAAGTTGGGTTCCTTTTTATTGTGACAGTGTGACGGTCAGGCAGTCATTAACCATATTTTTTTGGAATATCATGGATACCAGCCCAAAACCCAGTTTTGGTTATTGCCGTTAGTATTGGCAATAGGTCAGTGGAAGAGTGTCGCAACTCTGCTAGCCAGCATAATCTGGCAGTTTACTTGGGTTTTGTTGAGTGTCACAAAGTATTGGATTGGGTACATCGATTGCTACATCACGTTCAGTTGTTTTGATCATAGCATGGAATGTGTGGCCTAATTATTCTGCTGACAAGAGGTGTCATCATTCCATGTGACGTGTAGGAGTAGGACCGCCGAACCTGGGGGACAGTTAGCTAGTCGGGTTTGAAGAGTCCATGAGCCGCGGTTACGAGCTATCCTTCCCTCCCCCGCGGGTGTCCGTGGGGGTGGGCATGTCCGCTTTCAAAATCACTTTTATATAGTCCATATTTTCAATTGATAGTAACTAATAACAAATCATTTTGTTCTTTTAACATACGGTAATAATCTATTATTGAGTTTCTGCCCTTCCCGTGTGTGGTTGCTTCAACAGGGGGACAAGAATTTCGATTTAGAGTAAAAGAAAGGAGGACAGATTTAGTTTCATTATATACAAAAACACTTCCTTGAGGAATCCCAGATTCAATATTGGATGTAGGTCAGTAAGGACATCTTGATATTTAATTCGGAAAGTCCTGTTTTGAAGGTAGGATTTCAAAATGGTAAAAATTGAATGGGGTGCAAACATTTTCACTTTTTATAACAAGCCAACATGCCACCCCTTATCGAATGCCTGGCTAACATCCAAGAAGGCAGCTGATCAACATTTTTTATTATTTTCCATACATTGACGTATCACGTCAACAACTCGGTGAACCTTTTCTATGGTACTGTGTTTCCGTTTACCAAACTGATGCGCAGTAATTACATCTTCGCCAATTAGGTCTTGTATCCTTTCCAGAAGAAATTTTTCAAATAACTTAGACATTACTGGTAAAAGACTTATAGGTCGGTATGAACTTATACCTGGTCAAGAGGCTTCCCAGGTTTCGGAATGACTAGCAGTTGTGCTCTTTTGAAATGATCTGGCACATATTCAAGTTTTAACATTTTATTAAATAAAATAGTCAAAAACATTCCTTTCCGTGGAAGCTCTTTAAGTATTTTACCAGTTATGAGGTCGCAACCAGGAGCCTTGTCAGAATGAAGATTGTTGGTGATGATTAATTTTACTTCTGATGGTTTGAACTTCTGCAATGGGAAGTCAACTTGTAATGGAGCATCTAAATATTCAAGTATCTCTTCCTCGTTGTTTACTGCCGCATTTATTCGAACACATTCTCAAAATATTGAGCAAAGGCTTCAGACTTCGCTCTGTTAAATTTTGCCCAGCTCCCATCAGATTTTAAAATTTGTTTATAATAAGATTGTTTTATTTGGCTATAAGGTTTTAAATTAGGTACTGAAATAACAAGAAACAAATTGTAAACAAAAAACTACCTCTACATTGCACCGGACGGAACTAACAATAAAATTGTCTTCAGCTAATCCAGAAGGTTGACAAATTTACTAGGGGAGTATTTTTTATCCATGCTCATATGCACTGAGTTACAAATCTTGTAGAACTGTGTAGTATTGTAAATCCTGATATTTATATGGGTCTTGTTTGTATATATATACTTATGGGTGAAATGGAGGTCAAATAACCTTGCGTATTATGAGCTTCCCTCAGTTTGACACTTCAACCCCCACCATCCCCAAATGGCGCTTCATCCCTTTAAGAGTTGTGCATTACTCATCCTTCATTCATATTTCCTGGGTGTAAATACGCACATAGATGGCGTCCTCATCTCAAATAGTTATAATATAAACACCTATTATTTTAAAGATATTGTAAGCCGCCTGCACAGCTGCGCGCGTTGCCGCTCTACCCATCACCACCTAAAAGACGACGAAGTGAGGAGTTAGGGGTCAAGTCAACTGTAGACAAACAGGATTCTCGTATTTAATAATTTAATTTTACCGTCCACTCTTTAACGGGACTGATGATTAAATAACTTGTCGACGAAGAAATTTTCCGTATTTAGTTTTAAAAGACGGTCTAGTGGTCTGACGACGAAGCAACTTGTCGATCTACTGGTGGGCCCCCCTATATGAATAGGTTAGGCCTAATCCAAAAGACTTATAGATGAGCTACATATTATTTAGTTTGGTAAAAGAAAAACCAATGACTATAATGAAGACATTTAATACAGCTAAAAAAATTTGCTGAAGCACAGTTTTACCTTTTACATTTTAGCAATCATGTACCGTACATGGTTGCTAAAATGTATGGTACATGTATGTACCATACAGTCTATTGGTCACATACAATCTGGTCTACAGTAGTACAGCTACTTAATATCCTATGTTGATGGATGAGGGAATTAAATGAACTGATTAATTTTCTGAATTTATTTTGCTTTGGTGAATCCTAAAATAAATAAATGTATTTATCATCCTAGGATAAATTAAGCACATAACTCACAGTATAATAAAATGATAATTAATTATTAACTAGTGGCTTGTAGGGACATAATTCCCTAAAAAGCTCAAATGGAAAAGAAATTATTGTAATATTTAAACAAACTCAGAATCAATTTATATATTTGTCAGGATAGATATCCCAGTACAACATATCTTTTGTGTAAAAAAAAAAACAAAAAAACAGTTTGTTGTTTGTCTTTGTTTGCTTTTGTTGATGTTATTTTCAATAAAGAATATTAATGATTCCAGAGATTTAACTGCTAAAGAATAAATATTGGTTTATTAAGGTAGCTTTGGTTTTAGCGAATTTCCCATATAGGGAATAAGCTATTACCGTGGTACTCATGGTAAGACCTGGACCTGGGACCGATTTATTTTTTCGTTTTGAGGTCCCTAGAGGCCAAAAACACCATCCGTTCAAATTCATATATATATATATTTATATTACTAAGCAAATCAAAATACCACAGTACCCTAAAAACATTTTATTTTATATTACTTACATGTTTCGGACATTAATGCCATGATCACAGTATAGTATATAACCTATTAGTTTCTTTTATTTACAAACATTATTAGATATTTCTTATTAAAGAACAGGTGATAACTTTTATATTAAGGGAAGGAGGTGTTTTCTTTAAGATGTATAATTTCATTGAATATTACGTTTTGATTTTGAATTTGTGTCAAGTTTAGTAAATTGTCTTTGTCATTAATATGGTGAGTATAAATATAAAAGTCTTCCTTTGTATTCATTTTTTCACCTTTATTTTCAATATCCAGAATGTGCATATTTTTATTCATTTCTGAGTATGTATGGTCGGTCTGAAGTATATGTTCGGCGTATGAGGATTTTTGTGTTGTCATATTGTTTGATCTCATGGTGGAAGGAAAAAACATAGGTGTGCTATTCCCACATATTCTGACGTCACTCGGATTGCAAACAAAAGATCACCTGATTGTAACTGTCAAATTAGTATATGTATTTGTTTTGATTTGGTTGTTATTGTTTTCATAATAATAAAAACAAAAACAATAAAATCAAAACAAATACATACTAATTTGACAGTTACAATCAGGTGATATTTTGTTTGCAATCCGAGTGACGTCAGAATACGTGGGAATAGCACACCTATGTTTTTTCCTTCCACCATGGTTTGATCTGATTGCCTGTATATGCTCTTTGTATCTGACTTCAAATGTTCGACCTGTTTGACCAATATAGTATTTTTCACAGTTGTTACATGATAATTTGTAAATTCCTGATTTCTTATATACATTTGGTGGGTTGGGTATCGTATTTGTTCTTTTTTGTATTATGTTGAAAGCGTTATTCCTTGTTTTATAACTTAGTTTAAATTTTGAGTTCGGTAATGTCTTTCTTAAGGTTTTGTTTAAGGATGAGCTGAATGGAATACATATAAATTCTTTCTTTACGTTTTCTTGTTCTTCTACTTTCATTCTTTTTGTTTTTTCATTTTTTATTAATTTTTCAATCATTTTTTCTTTGTATCCATTTGTTCCTGCAATTCTTTTTATAGTTTTCTTTTCTATTTCAAAGTTGTCTTTAGACATTGGTATGTTAAGTAATCTAAATACCATTGATTTGAATGTAGAAATTTTGTGTTGCCAAGGATGGTTTGACTCAAATGGAATGATTAGGTCAGTTTGGGTAGGTTTCCTATATATATTGAAATTATGTCGATCGTTTTCTTTAGTAATTGTTATGTCTAAGAAATTTATCTTCTTTTCTTGTGTCTCCATCGTAAATTTAATTGTTGGGGAGATAGAATTTAAGTATTTCAAAAAATCTTGATATGAGTCTTTATTGCCGTTGTATAAGCATAATAGATGAGTGAACGAAGTGAACGAATCTATGTATCGTGTATAGCGGAGTCGGAGAAAAGTTGTCCGCTTGTCTGTGAGTGAGTGTGTTCGCACCAAAAACTCAAGAACCGTTGCACTTATAGCGTTCAAATTTTGCACAAATAATTATGACACCAGTGGGAAGACCTCATTAAAATTCTAGACGATTCCGTTCAGTAGTAATTATTAAAACCTTAAAAACATTTTTAAATTTGTCCCATAAGAATAACATTAGGAGCTACCTTCTTCTTCTTCTTATTTGTTTACGTTTTGCGACCAACAATTTTGTTGTCTACTTAAGACAGAGAGAACGACTTTTACTCTAAGCTTTTTTATTCATGGAGTAAACAGTTTGGCGTCTATGAATATATATCATTATAATTTCACAGGTTTCAGAATAATTTTGTTTAAGTTAATTAAATTTCACAACTTTCTGAATAATAAATTGAACTTTACAATATTAATCAGCAGTTATATACCGTTTATGTTCAGTATTAAACTTCACCTTTAAATTAAAAATATATATGTATATATTTCGAACAAAGCTGCTTTTTACATTATTCAATTTAATGTTGGGGCATTGAATATTAAATATTCAAAGATGTTAGTAATACTAAAATGCTATGCGAAGGGGGGGGGGGGGAACAGGTCCACGACGTAGAGAGTGGTAAAGGAAGCGGAAAGGTGAGCAGTGCGGAGTGTGGAAATCCTTTGTGACTGTTAAAATTAATATATCTGTAATACCATAGATTAAACATACTCCCTAAGGGAGTATGTTTAATCTATGGTAATACTTATATGCTATAGAAAGAGAGGGAAACAGGTCTACGATGTAGGAGGTAGTGAAGGAAGTAGTCAAGACGAGCGCTCCGGAGTGTGGAAAGCCTTTGTGACAGTTATAATAATGTATCTGCAATTCTAAAAACACAATGAGAAGGGAGAGAAACAGGGCCACGACGTAGGAAGTGGTGAAGGAAGTAGTCGAGGCGACCATTCCGGAGCGTGGGAACCCTTTGTGACAGTTAGAATAATGTATCTGCAATTCTAAAAATGCTATGGGAAGGGAGAGAAACAGAGCCACGACGTAGGAAGTGGTGAACGAAGTAGTCAAGGCGAGCAGTCCGGAGTGTGGGGACCCTTTGTAACAGTTGGGTTAATGTACCTGCAATACTAAAATGCCATAGGAAGGGAGGTAAACATGTCCACGACGTAGGAAGTGGTGATGGAAGTAGTCAAGGCGAGCAGTCCGGAGTGTGGCCACCCTTTGTAACAGTTGGGTTAATGTACCTGCAATACTAAAATGCCATAGGAAGGGAGGTAAACATGTCCACGACGTAGGAAGTGGTGATGGAAGTAGTCAAGGCGAGCAGTCCGGAGTGTGGCGACCCGTTGTGACAGTTATATTAATGGATCTGCAATAAAAAAATGCTAAAGGAAGGGAGGGAAACAGGTCCACGACGTAGGAAGTGGTGATGGAAGTAGTCAAGGCGAGCAGTCCGGAGTGTGGCGACCCGTTGTGACAGTTAGATTAATGGATCTGCAATAACAAAAATGCTAAAGGAAGGGAGGGAAACAGGTCCACGACGTAGGAAGTGGTGATGGAAGTAGTCAAGGCGAGCACTCCGGAGTGTGGCGACCCGTTGTGACAGTTAGATTAATGGATCTGCAATAAAAAAAATGCTAAAGGAAGGGAGGGAAACAGGTCCACGACGTAGGAAGTGGTGATGGAAGTAGTCAAGGCGAGCAGTCCGGAGTGTGGCGACCCGTTGTGACAGTTAGATTAATGGATCTGCAATAACAAAAATGCTAAAGGAAGGGAGGGAAACAGGTCCACGACGTAGGAAGTGGTGATGGAAGTAGTCAAGGCGAGCACTCCGGAGTGTGGCGACCCGTTGTGACAGTTAGATTAATGGATCTGCAATAA